TGAAGTGTACAGAAGAAGAACCAATAGGGAAGTACAACAAATTTATCAAAAACCTGGTATCAACGCGTACCTTATGAGCAAACGAATTGAGTGGGCAGGACATGTATGGAGGTCAAATGGTATCCGAAAGAAAGCTCTGGAAGGAAAAATCAATGGAAAAAGACCTAGGGGTCGCCCCAGACAGCGCTGGATAGACAGGGTTGTTAAGGAGGATATAGACAAGTGCGCCCAGGGATTGACTTTAGAGGATAGTGTTGACAGAGATAGTTGGACAAAAGTAGTAGAGGCAGCGAAAGTCCTCCAAGGACAGTAAAATCTGAAGAAGMAGAAGATAAGGATAACTTATGAGGAACTTTGTATTAAATTTTCAAGTATTTTGATAGGGCTAAAAAAATGCTATCGACACTTCAAAAAAAAWTTTTCAGAAAAATTGAAAATTTGAGTTGTTTATAAATACCTCAAAAAAAGTCAAAATATTTTGAAAATTAAATCATGTAAATAAAATGACAATCTAAATAACTGCTAAAATTTTCAAGTATCTACGACTTATACTTTTTGAATAATAACAAATATTTAAAATCGTTTGAGGATAAATCGTTATCGTTACGCTATTTCGTAARAATTTAAAATTCAAACGCACTTAAAATTTTTCCTATAATGATGCTTCGAGTTTTCTCTATAGCTANTTTAAAATCGTTTGAGGATAAATCGTTATCGTTACGCTATTTCGTAAAAATTTAAAATTCAAACGCACTTAAAATTTTTCCTATAATGATGCTTCGAGTTTTCTCTATAGCTACTTGAAGGAAAACTTAGTGTTGTATTTTTAATTCTTAGTTATTAACACAAAATTTTTTATGATTTTTCAACTTCAAAATTACTTGCAAATATTCGCATTTTCGACAGATTTCGTAAAAATTTGAACAATAAACGCTTATAAAAAAAAATTGTGACCAACGATTTTTAATTTTTTTTAGCTACAATTAGAACCACTCATAAGAAACCTTGTATTAAATGTTCATGTTTTGTGGTTGTCCAACATTTTTTTACCGACATTTCGAAAAAAAAATCGAAAATTTCAGTGGTCTATAAATAACTCAAAAAAAGTCGAAATTTTTTAAAATTGAACTGTATATAGATATTACTAATATTAACATTTGGTGAAAATTTCAAGTATTTACAGTGATTAGTTTTTGAATTACAACCATAAAAAAAATTCGATTTGGCCGAAAACTGATTTTGCGTAAAAATACCCGTTTTTCTGTCATTTTTTTTTTGTTTATCTCGATTTTTTTGAAAACTGTTGGAAAATGTTTACTTTTGACCTCTATAATGCACCAAGGATATTCACAATTACATCGGAAACCACCTCCATAGTTTGAAATTGAAGCATTATTTCGACTAGTTATGCTGTAAACAGACACAAAAACACATATCACTGTAAAATCAATACATTCATCACTTCGATCAGAATCTAAAATTTTAATTTGATATTTTTGAATTAAAGGTGTTTTTAATTGTTTTTCTTCCAAAAGTCTAATTTTATTTTGGTATTCATCACTCTCTTTCTTAGTCAAAACTCCAAATAGGACTCGTTGTAATTTTCCAATACCCCCGAAAAATGAGCTTCGTTTCGTTCTATAGTCCTTAGGGTTTACATTATATTTTTTATCCATATTTAAACATTGTTGTAGAACGTCTMTTTCCTCGTTAATTTTTTCTAATAGTACTGCGCTACATTTTTAATTTTATACATATATCATTAATTTCTGTTGATTTATTTTCAAAATTTTGGCAAATTAGTTTAAATCTGTTAAAATATATATTTATGAACTCATAACTATTTTCATAATTCGAAATATTATAAAACGTCAAAAAATTCCATTGAAAAATAGCTATGTGTAGTGGGGATATATTTTCGAAATAAATACCTGGCTTGGTAGTAAATTGTTTATTCTCAAAAAAATTCGGATTTCCTTAGTTAACTACCATTTTGWTATAATATAAATAATACCTATTACAAGTTTAGTTTATAATATAATTAAATTTATATTATACMAATTATTTACTAAATTACTTGTCTCAAAAAATAATTGTTTACGAAATACTTAAAAAACTTTAAACGTATAAGCAATTACTTTGCTTAATTGCATTGTTAGTTATTAATATAGAAAAAAATATTTTAACGTTTGATATCTATTAAATATATAAATGAATAGAATAGTTTATCACACAAAAATATGTGTTATTATAAAGTTACAATTAATAAACAAATAAAATGTATTCCATGAAAATTCAGTTACTGGATGTATGAACACTATAATATTACCTATATTGTTTTACTAAATTTTTTCTAATTGACTATTCTACCTTTATTCAACTAACAAAATATATAATATTATATAATTTAAGCCTGTAAGAATTTAATAATATTTTAAAAATAACTTAATTACAYTACCAAAGTARATTATGTTTTTAAAAATTAAAATAAATTACATACCTTTCTAATAAATATGGATAATTACTAATTAGTAATTAGTTTTGTTTGGCATATTCAAATTTGCATACACAATTTATTTCTTGTAGCTCAGTAAGTTTAAATACATTATCTTATATTAAAGCTACACTTCAATCAAAATTTATGTATTTATAATAATTTAAATTTTAAATTTTAAATTTATAATATTTGTATTTATTAATTTGTGTATTATACATCAACTTATTATTCATCAAACGTGTTACCATTTATATTAGTCTTAAGTCCAAACACCAACAATTACGCACACACTTACACACTCACCGCACACTAGCACTCTTAAGTTTTGCTCGGCGACCCCGTCCCCTCCTTTTGAGTCGCTATAGTGCCATACACATATACACACTGCAACATAGGTCGGTCGGTGTGTGAGTACATTACCGCACGAAGTATTTCGGTGATCGGGCGCGCGTATTATAATTATACGCTCACGTCCCGCACAAAGATGCATATTTAAGGGCTAGTTTGTTCAATTGGTTGAGCTATAAATTAGAAGTATGGTATTTTAATAAGGGACAAAAATCAGTCTAGGGAATTAGAGTTAGAGAAGTACAGCAGCATGAGGAGGTAGATTTTGCAATGGAGTCCGTTATTTCATTACCTTTTATGCCAGAGTGGCCGGGCACTCAAAGAAATTCAACTATAAACTCTAAAAGAGTAAGTTCATATAGGAGTTGCCTGATCCTGATAGAAATGAGAGTGGACGGGTACAGAAAAAATCGGAGGAAAGATTGAAAAAACTTGATAAGGAAACAGAAACGATGAGATAGCTACTAGTGAGGGGGGGGGGTAGAAATGGTCATTCACCATGTCGAGCCTTTTTGACACTGAACCAAAATTAGGTCGTAGTTCTTCAAACCTATCCACCGAAATTATTCAAAAATTATCAAATGAAGAAGACCTTGAAAATATATTACAAGAAAATTCAGAACATAATAATGTTTACAATATATACCTTCAAACTTCAAACAATGACATAAAATAGTGAAAAACTATTTAAAGAACTAGAGGTTGGTGATCATAATGAATATTTCTTTTACATACGACAAACTATAGCAGCTAAAAAAATGGCAGAAAATAGTGAAAAACTATTTAAAGAACTAAAAGTTGGTGATAAAATAGTATTAAAAGAACGTGATACCTACCCACATGTGTTGTCTCCAATGTCTCCGTCATATAAGAGCGTAACATAGCAAATTTTACGGTCAGCAAAACACGTGTAGTTCTGTTAGTTCAAAACTTAGAGTGAATTCAATGTTGGCTTTGAGAAAAGACGTTTTACTGTGGTTTGTGCGGTTACAATTACACAGGGTATTAAATGACAAATTGAACACAAGTTTTGAATCAGTCTGTCTCACGAAAGAATGGGACCGTTTCGCGAATGTTGGATGAGCTATAMCGTTTACTTCTCACCCGACCGCGGCGACCACCAGCGACGACCGTCATCGTCATTGCAGATCTGCGGTGCGGTGCGTCGTGGGGATGCTCAAGAATGACCGATTTTGGTTGAGACAAGGTCCCGTGCTTTCGTGAGATAGAGTATAGAGTAGGTTTTATTAACAGGCAACGAAGAGAACGGGGATCGGCTAGTATGCTTTGTATGAAAATATATCAATATAAATTATGCATTGCCAGTTTTTGAGCGATTTAAATTCATCTCATAGAATTAACATTTTATTTTACATGACATTTTTGTACCCAACATGTATAATGAATGACTAATCTTCCATGTTGGTAGTCGCTTTTTTATTAATATTTTCAATGTAATCGTTTTGCAAAAAGTATGCTTGTTCCATCACATAAACGCTGACGAATATCACAGACCATAACATAAAAACCATAGCCATGGTTGCAAATTTGTCGCAATAAATTTCTTATTCAACAAAATTTAATTAAAATCTCACTGTTGCTGCATGGACTACAGCAGGTTATGGACTACATGTTTAGATGCCCTTTATATAGGTACGTTTGAACACTCGAATTTTAAAATCAACAATATATAAGTAATCGTTTCTCTGAAATTTGTATGAAAAGATCCCTACATTCTAATTTATGTTAAATAAATTAAACAATTTTTGTCATACACTTATAGCCTTATCTGGTTTGTTTGAAGTGTTTTCGCTAAAATAAGATAAAATTTAAATTAAATGTCTTGATAGGTTACAAGAGCTGATTTTCGATTTACTATCTTAAATTTAAATTACTTTTATTTATTTTTATATTACAGCTAGGTACTTAAATACGTTTTATATACCTAAGAAGTGTATTTTTACATAGTTAGAATCATGTTATAGGTATAATAAATATCATACTTTACTTGGAAGCCCATTATTTGTTCATAAAGTTATTCTTAACACTTTAATAATCATCATTCATAAATACATATTAATTTTTCAGAATTATTAAATAATTGATTACTCATCATTTACAATGTCTATTGTAGTGATCGAATATTAGATATGATTACTATTAGTCATTGACATTTATTAACAATTTTATATATTCATTATATTCATACACAATTAAAACATACCTATTAAATAAAAATGTCTAAAACAAATTTCGAAGAAAATAATTATTAAAATAAAAATTAATTTTAATATTTTGTTTTCCGTTCTTTTATTCATTAAAAGTATGATGTTATATAATTCTTGCCTTAAATTAATAAATTAAACACAAATACATTCATATTATTATAATATTGACCATTGATATAAGTACTACCTTAAAATGCGATGTATTAATAAATATTAGAGATATTTACACTTTTTCAAATAAAAATAATAATAAATTATACCTACGTGTTAAATTTATCGTAAATTTTATCAATTTTTTTTTACTGGTAAATTATTTTTTACAAAATAAATGTTGTGTGGCCGCTCTAATCAAATGAAATTAAAAACGTCCATTCTGAATTGTGAGGCTGGTACAGATTTCCCGATTTTGATAACAGCAAGATATCATCACAGATAACATAATATTATAATTATATAATCTGTGATATCATCAAAATCAAATTTCGGGAGAACCTTGGAAAAATAAAATTCCCGCATGAGATATTGCTTTTTCTTACCTGACCAATTTTGCCAACATACAAATACTAAAATCCTTTTTATTCGCCTTTAAAATATCTAAAAACCTATCTACCACTTATCAATTATAACTAATGGTTATCAATATACCCACTAAATACAAAATAAATGGTATAATAAGGCATATTATTATATTAATATTATAATTGCTTTAAAATATAGAGCTCTAATGGCTCATGTGCTGAACAAATTGGAAATGTATTCTCTCCTTTATATTTTTTACTATTTCTACAATAAATTTATWTATTTATTATATTAAACAGTTTGCTAGAAAACATACTTAATATACAGCACTAAATACATTACCTACCTTTCTTTTGCTACAATCATAATAAAATAATTAATTGTTATAGTGAATTTKTTTTGTGTTTATTAAACAGAATAATCAAAATAATACATTAATTTAAAAAACAAATCCAAATTTTTGCAATATTCCTACACTATGCTGTACTTAACTTTAATACATGGCACATTGGCACTAAACTTTTTTCAGGGGATTCTGAGCTGAGCAGATACATTTTATGCATTATTCTTTTAAAAAACAAAAGTGATTACTTAATTATATAATTTAATTTATTTTAACATATACCACACATTTAAATTTTATAACACTCTATAGCTAAATTTTTTAAATTCTAAATTCTCAATTGAATATATATTGTTACGTCCCGACTGAACGTCGATTCRTACATCAACGTAGAGATGAAATACTGATGTTTACAATGTAATAATGTCTTTATTTTCACAATTTATTAATAATTGATACAAAAATACAGTTTATATGCTATAAAGGTGTTGGTGAGCGGTGTTACGACCTTACTCTGAAATATTGTTTTAAATGACAATGAGTGATGGTTTTACGACCTGCCTCTAAGTGTCTTAAATGTCCCTAACCGTCTGATTCAAATTTAAGAACCGATTGGCTCACATTTTAGAAAAACCCGTCTGTCTCACATTTTAAAAACCGTCTGACGAGCTCTTGTCGTGGTCTCTCTTATATATGCTCGTATCCGTAGGAGTAGGTGGTCGTACGTGGTGGTGAAATCTGGCACAAGGCAGAATTTGAGTCTCCTGGTATAATTGGTTATTCTAGTCGATTCACATCCTTTCTTAGTAGCAGTGACTTTCCGAGAAGAGACGTGTGACAATGCTTTT